GATTGTTTCTTGTTCATCTTTTGTTCACAGTGTCTAACATTTAATATATCAGTGTCTAACATTTAATAGGAACTCAATATTTGAATTAATGCTTAAAGTCATCCATTTATTCAAAAAATATTGAGTACCTATAGTGTGCAAAATAATATACTAGGAGTTCAATATAGGGAAGTAAGTAGTACTCTTATTATCCCCAGGTATGGGATCAGAGATTTTGAGTGGTTAATTTGCCTAGTAAAAAGTGGTAAGAGTTGTCTGACTGAAAATTGAGTGTCAGCTGGGCGTAGTGACTCATACCTGTAATCTCAGCACTTTGGGAGGCTGAGGCGGGCAGATCACAAGGGTGGATCATCCTGGCCAATATGATGAAACCCCGTCTCTACTAAAAATACAAAAAATAGCTGGGCGTGGTGGTATGCACCTGTAGTTCCCCACTACTTGGATGGCTGAGGCAGGAGAATCACTTGAACCCGGGAGGCAGAGTTTGCAGTGAACAGAGATCATGCCACTGCACCCCAGCCTGGTGACAGACCAGGTGTCCCATCTCAAAACAAACAAAAAAGATAATTGAGTGTCCATAACCATTCATATCCATTTCCTTGAACTTAAGACTTTATCATTTTAAATCGCCGTTCTGTGTTTTCTGTTTTCTAAAATTTAATATTTTGGATTTCTACATTTTCTAGTTCAATATAACTAAGTTATAAAATAAAATAAAAAAATTGAATAAAGCAAATACTGTACTCAGCATAGCTTTGCATTTGTCCATGTTTTATAAAGTAATTGGAGTCTACTTAGGTATGATTATATAGGGATCCCTTCAAAGACTCCAGCATTCTTGTGATCACATCCACTTCCTCCTTGTCATTTGCATCATCTGTATGTGGCAGGAATTTTGAAAACCAGCAAAGTGTTGGAGAAAAGGTAATGGAAACAATGAGAATATGGTTTGAAAAGAATAAGTATTTTATGATCTGTATTCTAAATTCTATTAGCCTGTATAAAACATATCACATCTAAAATACCAAGAGGTTTAAGTTAGATGCAATTGAAAATGAGTATCACTATTTAAGTAATAATGACATTTCCTTAATGTTAATTTATCTTCTCAGTATTATCCACTATAAGATCCAACTTCCTAAGAAAATCTGAAAACCTTATCTACCATTTAAAAGTAATCTTTTAATCCCCTTAACATTTTATAATAGACTTTTATAATGAATTTCCATAAGCTTTCCATTGATGTGGTGCCACAAACTTAGAGTGGTTTTTCCTTTATAGCAATCCATTGGTTGCAAGTTGGACAAAATCCTAGGTGATTGAGTGACAGTAATTACTTTATTCTTTCCATCTTCTCTCTAGTACTTCATTATTTGCATTATTAATATTGTCTAGTCTGTTTCTTTGTAGATATTTTTTAAGTGACTTTATTTTGTGAGGAATAGTTTTATCTAGATAATATATTCCATAAATTTTTAATAAAATATATTCTATAAACTTGTTTAGTTAAATGTAACTTCAATACATTGTATTATAGTAATTGTAAATGAATAGCTGAAAGGCTCATTTGTGAAACCCTCTTAAGTTATGGCATCTCCCACCTTTTCAACAGGACACCTCACATATGACCAGCTTACATGTGGTCTTAGTGAAGATTCCAGTGTCAATTTGATGTTAAGTATTAGGAAAGTCTATTTTTTCTCATGAAATAAAAATAAATAGAATGTCCTTGAAAGAATTTGTTATTGATAATCTCATTCTTTCTAGAACTGTACCCCAAATATTTTCCCTCAGCTCAGCAGTCCACGCAGAGTCTCAATACCTGCTTTAGACTTAAAATTTTCTGGATCTCTTTTGCTACAGGGAAAGACATCTAAAACAAAGGAATACAGAGTGCAGAAATAGATTCATGTGCACATATATGAATTAGAATAAAGAACCATTTTGGATCAATTACTAAATGATAAATAAATAAATATTATTTATATCATAGGTTAACTACTTAGACAAAAAGTAGAGTCTTCCAACTTAATCATTCACAAACATAGAAAATTCCAGATGACTTAATTTTTTTTCTTTTTTCTCCTTTTTTTTTTTTTTTTTTTTAAGACAGAGTCTCACTCCGTCACCCAGGCTAGAGTGCAGTGGCACCATCTTGGCTCACAGCAACCTCAGCCTCCCCGAGGCTCAAGCTATTCTTCTGTCTCAGCCTCACGAGTAGCTGGGATTACAGGCACCTGCCACCACACCCGGCTAATTTTTGTATTTTTAGTAGAGACAGGGTTTCGCTATGTTGGCTAAACTGGTCTCAAACTCCTGGCCTCAAACTATTCACCAGCCTCGGCCCCTCAAAGTGCTGGGATTACAGGCGTGAGCAACCACACCCAGCCGCTATTTACTCCTTTTTTCTCACTATCCTTATTCAATGAATACTCTTAGGTGTAGTAAGTAATGATCGTAAAGAAACTGGAAAACATATGGAAAATCTAAATGAGCATTGTAAGAAACACACGTGATAATTATAACTAATTTTGAGGTATAAATGCAAAATAGTACTCTGATGCTGGAAAGAAATGAGATAAAGACACAAAGGCCATCTGAATTAAAGCATTCTGTTATTTTGAAGAAGGTAGAGATATTGATTAGTTTATACCTTGTTAAATCACATATTAAAAGTAGTATTGGCCGGGTAGGGTTGCTCATGCCTGTCATCCCAGCGCTTTGGGAATCCGAAGCGGGCGGATCACGAGGTCACGAGTTCAATACCAGCCTGGCCATCGTGGTGAAACCCGATCTCTATTAAAAATACAAAAATTAGCTGGATGTGGTGGTGCATACCTGTAATCCCAGCTACTCAGGAGGCGGAGGCAGGAGAATTGCTTGAACCGGGACCTGGGGAGCAGAGGTTCCCGTGAGCTGAGATTGCACCACTGCACTCCAACCTGGGGTACGGAGCAAGACTCTGTTGCAGAAAAAAACAAAATAGTGTTAAGGGTAACTATTAAAGTAATAAAAATAACACAAACTTGTCAAAACCAGTAGAATAAAACTAATTTTTTTCAATACAATTCTGAAAAGGAGAAAAGTAAAGAAATAGCATAATGTGCACAAAAATGCAAGTATATCAGTGTCAAAATAAAGTAAATGAACTAAAACCACTGGTTATCAGATCATATCTTAGATTGGATAAAATTGCAAATCCCAACTATATACTGTTTACAGGAGGCAGAGGAAAAAAAAAAAAACAAAAACCTTAGTATTGGAAAGGCTAAAAGTAAAGGGATGGTAAAAGTTATAACCAGGACCAGGCCAATCAAAAACATAACTACTATCTTAATTGCTATGTTAATAGTGGACCAAATATATTTTAATAGGCAAAGAATATTATTAGGGATAAATTGCATCACTACATAAAATGAGAAAGAATGCACAAGCAAGATGTAGCAAGTATGAACACATATATTTAATAAACAAAGAAACTTGACAAAATTGCGTGGATAAATTGACAAATCCACAATTACTATGGGAGATTTTAACATAGCCCTTTTAGTAATTAATACATCAACAATTTAGTATGGATAGAGAAAACTAACCCCACAATCATAAAATTTTATTTATAATGGTTGACTCAATCACTTCTGCTTTACTGACTGGTGACCCAGAGAGTAGAGAAAAAATTTATTCACTTCAGTTGCAATGCACATTGCGGTTTTGCTCCTTATGCATTTTCTCATCAACTAAAGAATTAACCATATTAACACAAATATCATTAGTAAAAGTTTCTATCTTCTGATAGATTTGATTCTGCATTTAGACTTTTTCAATATCATGAACAGTGTTACACTGAATATTTTTGTCTTTGTACGTGTTGGTTCGTCTTTTTTCAATTTATTTTATTACATTTGCATGAGTGTGATTAATAGGTCAAAATGTTTGAACTATGGCTTTTGAAATATATTGACAAATTTCTAAAGCAATTTTTAGTGGCCCTGGTAAGGTATATGACCAATATAAGTAAGTGAGCTTCTAAATATATGATTAACTTATGAATGAAAGGGTTCTTTAAATGGTGCTTATACTTGGTTAGTAGTGTTTTACTAATTCATATATATGGTACATCAGTCTTTTCATTTTTAAGAAATAGGCTTTGTATTGCAAAATAAGTTGCCAGTAATTAGTTTTACTTGTATTTTATTTGTAATATTTCTTATTACATACATTGTTATTGAAGCTAGAATTTGGGGGCTTTGTTATACAATTCTAATATTTTATATGTTTAACATTTTTCTAACGAGAAAGCTCTGAGAAATTGAATTGATGAATAAAAGGTAAAACTGTTTAAGAGATTTCTTTAACTTAGAAAATGTTAAATTTTTATATGTTGAAATATTTTGCTCCATTTGATTTCTTGAGACAAAGAAGAAAAGGATTATTTAGTCATGCTGTATATATACCCAAGAAGCAGTACAAACTAACGGGTAAGATCACAAACTTAGAACCAAACTGCCTGCATTTAAATTCCAGCTGTACTGTGTACCAGCTCCAGGACCTTAAACAAATTGCTTTACTTTTCTTAGCTTCAGTTTTTTCTGTAAAAATGGGCATATAAGGTTGTTGGGAATACTTTATGAGTCATGTGCATAAAGCACTTAGAATATGGGGCATAGTCAGCATTCAGTAAGGCTTAGCTGTTATCATGGCAAAATATACTTGATAGATACCAGATGTGTGCTATATAGACGGTCAATAGAAATTATAGTCAACCTCTACTTCTTTTTGGCTCCATCATATTTTTCTTATTTTTAATTTTGGGGCATTTTAGGATCAGAGTGATTGTTGTTTTCATTTTGTTCCTTTGTTTCTAGATAGGTGGAAACGTGTTCAACATATGTAGTCTTTGAAGGATAGAGAGAGGATGGGCACAGAAGATATCAAAGAGGAATTTCTTTGATTTTGGTCTGAATCCTCATTCTGTTATTTTCTTCTTTCTTATTTTCCAGATTAAATAACTTACGGATAAAGAAAATTTGGATGGTAAAATTGAATATTGTAACTATGCAATGGATTCCTCAGTGGAAAACACGTATGTAAACAAAATGTGGGTTCAATGTGAGAATGAAAATTGTTTGAAATGGAGATTGTTATCAAATGAGGATGCAGCCAAAGTTGATCATAATGAACCTTGGTACTGCTTCATGAACGCTGATTCAAGATATAATAACTGCTCAATTTCTGAAGAAGACTTCCCTGAAGAGTCTCAACTTCATCAGAGTGGATTTAAGATTGTCTATTCACAGCTCCCTCTTGGAAGCCTGGTTTTGGTAAAATTACAGAATTGGCCAAGGTAAGGTTTGTGCTGTTTTATTACTTTTGAGGTGTAGTCTTGATACGTTTATGGATATTAAAAATCTTTTCAAAGAGTCAACATTTTTCTTTTGTCTACTTGTTTCTTAATTTCATATCATTGTTCTTTTCCGTACTTCTTTTGGGTTTTGTTTCAAGCTTTTTAAATTGGCAAGTTAGGTAACTGAATCCAAATCTTATTTTCTTCCCAATATAGGCAATTAAAGCTATAAATTTCTCTCTAAGTAGTGCTGTAGCTTCATTATACAAATTTTGATATGTTTTATTACTTTGAAATATTTACTGATTTTCTTTGTGATTTCTTTTTGAAATGGGTTATTTAGAAGTGTGTCTTTACTGAATATTGGGGTATTTTAATGCATCTTATTGAGTTCTCCTTTAAATCTGTTGTACTCAGTTCCACTGAATCATATTGTATGGTCCACTATACCTTCTTGTCACATATGTTATGAATGTTTCATGACCATTTGAAAAGAATGTATTCTATAATTGTTGCCTAGATACCTAAAATTTTTTTTCTTTAGATTTATGTAGATTTATTATATTTCAATATTTCTCATCCTGGGTTGGTTTTCCCAAGTAGGCAGTGTGCACTTCCAGTATATAACTTCAAGTGTTATTTTTATCTAAGGTTTATTATAACCTGTTTGTTCTGTTGCATTGCTTTGATTTTCTTACTTTAGGATTTTGATATTACTTATGATATTACTTATCCACCATAAGTAATCTTCTTTGTCTATCTTTTGTGTTACTTTTTCTTAAACTGTTTTTAATCTTTCAGTTTTTCAAATTTATTTTTTTTCTTTTTTGTTTTTCTGAAAGGTATTATCAATGGCTTTTGTGTTTCTTCTAGTTTAGTCTTTTTGTTAAAATTACAAAAAAAATTTCATTAGTTATGTTTCTTCTCTTTTCAAATCATGTTTTATTTATTTTACTTTTTATTTTAGGTTCAAGGATACATGTGCAGGTTTGTTATGTGGGTAAACTTGTTTCATGGGGGTTTGTTGTGCAGATTATTTCATCACCTACGTATTAATCCTAGTACCCCTTAGTTATTTTTCCTGATCCTCTCCCCTCCTCCCACCTTCCACCCTCTGGTAGTCCCTAATGTCTCTTATTCCCTTCTACATGTCTATGTGTTTCTGTTATCACTTCTTTTTTTTTTTTTTTTAGTTATTCTAATTATAATTTACGTTTATTTTTTTCATTACTTGTATTACTTTCTTAATTTCTTTTATTTCAACTTGAAATTTCAGGTACAATTTTGATCTTTGTAAGGCCATGCATCTCTGATAATCTTTCACTTTTTGGTAGGGGTGTTATTTTTTTTTACCATAACAACTTTATATTCGATTCAACTAGAATCTTTTCTTCTTGAGTACTTTTCTATGAAACGAGTTCTTATTTGTTCAAAAGGCAAGAGGGAGTGCTTTTTTTTAGTCCATTTTCTCTCTGTTGTTCAGATTGAATTATTCCTATTATTCTCTTTTTAAGGTCACTGATTCTTTTCTCTATATTCACACTGTATTGGAAGTATCCATTGAGCTTTTAAAAATATTGTATTTTCAGTTCTAAAATGTTCATTTGATTCTTTATATTTCCTGTTTATTTACTAGACTTTATATTCTTTTTATTTTGGATCTTATTTAAACCTGTTTAGCATGCTGCTTTTACTACTACATCAACAGGATATGTAGGAGCACTTCTTTGTTACTCCCACATGGGAGTAACAGTCGAGGTTCCCCACTCAGCCTCTACTGACTTACAAGAGAGGGGAGGATGCCTCAGTTCCACTAGGCAGAGGTGAGAGTTCAAGCTCCCCTCACACAACCCTAGCTAATAGGGCTAGGGTGACCTTTTTATTGTTGCCAGGTGAACTTCACTGATACCATATGGGTATCTTATTAACACTGGAAGGTGGTAAAAATCTTGGCTTCCTACTAAGCCTTTTCTGCCACCACCTGAACAGGAAGGGTGCTTCATTATTGCTGGGTGATTTGCAGTCCAGGCTCACCACTGGCCTTTGGTTTGGGGTGTAAATGTAGAGGCCATATATTTTCCACGGTGTTTGTCTGTGATAGGGCAGTTATTCTGTATAAGTTTTCTGTCTTGTTGGGCTTCTCCTCTCCTGGTCCTTTGGCTAAAAAGAGCAGGCTTTATTGGAGCTTTCTTTGGTATGTCTGGTTATATTCACTGGTGTTTCTGGGTTGCTGACTACTTCAGCACCCAGTTGAGGAATACAAAGCGTAAGAAACGCACTGCTATGTCATTCCTCAAGTCACAGGATCCTTAGCTAATATGTCATTTTTTCTTCAACTTTGAGAATTTTGTTTGTTTGTTTCATATATAATATCCAGATTTTTCAATAGAGGGAGAAATACAAAGAAATTAATCTACTTGATCTTGTTGAACCATATGTTAGAGGATAGTTTTTTTTGTTTTGTTTAGCTTTTTTCCCCTCATTCAGAGTTCCAGAGCCCTTATTTTATCGTTTTCTCAAAGTATCAAAAATATGGCCTGTCTTTTGAAATTTCCTAGGTTTTTCTCTTCCCCCATGTTTATTTTTAAATTTTTAAAACTTTAAATTTTTATTTAATTAGTCTACTTTAGCTTTTAGAGGGGTTTTAGGTTTGCAGAAAAATTGAGTGGAAAGTATGGAGAGTTTCCATATGTCCCCCTTTCCCTCTGACACACACAGCTGCCCCACCATCAACATCCCACACTGATATGGTACATTTGTTATAATATATGAAACAGAGTTCACTCATCATTATTAATAAAGTCTATACATTAGGATTCATTTTTGAGTTATATATTCTGTGGGTTTTGGCAATGTATAATGACATGTGTCCATCATTATAGTATATACAGAATAGTTCTACTGGCCTAAAAATTGTCTGTTCTTCTCCTATTTATCCTTTCATCCCTCCAAATTCTTGATGACCATTTATCTTTTTACTATCCTCATAGTATTATCTTTTCTAGAATGCCATATAGTTGGGATTATATAGTAGTTAGCCTTTTCAGACTGTCTTCTTTTATTTACTAATATACATTTACATTTCCTCTATGTCCTTTTATGGCTTGATTACTCATGTATTTTTGCTACTGAATAATATTCCATTGCCTATATGGAGGACAATTTATCCATTCACCTACTGAAGGATATCTTGGTTGCTTCCAAGTTTTGGCAATTATGAATAAAGCTTCTATACACATCCATGTGCAGGCTTTTATATGGATCTGTTTTCAGTTCCTTTGGGTAAATATCAAGGAGTGCATTTGCTGGAAAGTATGCTGTGATTATGTGTGTGTATTTGTTTTTAAGAAAATGCTAAACTGTCTCCCAAAGTGGCTGTATTATTTTGCATTCCCAAAAATGTGGCTTCACCCCTTGCCGGTATTTGGTATTATTAGTGTTCTGGATTTTGGTCATTCTAATAGATGTATAGTGGTATTTCATGGTTTTAATTTGTATTTTCCTAAGGACATATCCTTTTGAATATCTTTTTATGTGCTTATTTGCCATCTTGTGTCTCTTCTTTGGTAGGGTGTGTGTTCAGATTTTTTGCCCATTTTTAAATCTGGTTGTTAATTGGTTTGTTGTAAAGTCTGAAGAGTTATTTGTATATTTTTGGTATCACTGTCTTATCAGATATGTATTTTGGAAATATTTTCTCCCACTCTGTGGCTTGTCATCTTGTTCTTTCAATAGTGACTTTTGCAAAGTAGATATGTTTTATTTTAATGAACTCCACTTTATCACTTTTTTTCATGATTGGTGCTTTTGATGTTATATCCCCACTTTTATTTGTATCCTTTTTTTCCTTTCTTTCTTATTGATCTTGTCCTCTTCAGTTTAGATTTTACTCCCAGTAGTTTCTCATCCTGTGAGCTTTTGTCCTGGAATGGATCTCTGTTGGTTGGTTCATAGGGCCCACACTTTTCCAACACTTTCAGATTTTGTTGCAATCCACCTCACAATTTCGGCTGCTATTCTTAGTTCAATTTGCTGCACTTTCTATTAAATGCTTGTTGCAAGTTTGAAGTTCTCATTCCTCTTCCTCCCACCCTGCTTCCTCTCAAACAGATGTTATTATTGTGTGGGTCATATAATTTTTAGTAGTTTGTGCCCGTTCCTATTTTGGCATTCATGTGGGTAGCTTACTACTTAGTGTTATCATAGATGGTATGTGCCAGGTTTGCTTTGCTCTTATAGTTGCCCTACCTCTATTTATGGGGAAATTTCAGAATATTCTAAAACTATACCACCATTGCTGCTATCTTTCCAGAATCCTTTACTATTTTACATTGCACTTTTCAACATAACATTCTTAAAGCTGTATATTCTGGCTCACTATCTTGCTTTCATTCATGTTCAATTATTCTACATGAATAAAATAGGATGTTGGCTTTCATAGAGAATATGGTGGACTTATCCCAACACATACACACACACGCACACCTACACACACATGTGCGTGCGCGCGCGCACACACACACACACACACGACATCTCAATCAATACCTAGATTCATGTTCTTGCTCTATCACTTATGCTTATGGTCTGAATTATATTCCCTCAAAGTTCACATGTTGAAGTCTAACCCCCAGTACCTTGGAATGTGACCATATTTGCAGATATGATTCTTAAAGAGGTAATTAAATGAAAATCAGACCAAAGTAAGATGGGCCCTAATCCATTATGACTGGCCTCCTTATAAGAAGAGGAGATTAGAACACAGACATGCACAGAAGAAAGACCATTTGAAGACATAGCAAGAAGATGGACATCTATAAGCCAAGAAGAGGGGTCTCAAAAGAAACCAAATATGTCAATGTATTGCTCTTAGATGGTAGTCTCCCAAAACTATATAAAAAAAAATAATGTGCTTACTATCTTTGCACATATGGGAAATCTCTTGGATATATGTGTCCTTTGTTGCTGAGGGCTTTTCTGAAGATCAAATGTGATAATGT